ATGGAATGGTTTTATCTTGCTCTGAAGAGCAGCTGGATAGAATTGATGTTTCCAGGAAGCAGCAGCTGATGATGTTCTCCATGTTTTTATCCTCCCTGAAGTGCCTGAGGATTACACTGTCAAGGAAGCAGAACTGAAGATGGGAAGCTTGCTTGGGTTGTGCCATGGGAAAGCTCCAACTTCCACTCAGGTAGAGCTGTGAGGGAAAGTGTCTTGTGCATCTCCTCTGTAAAGGGCACACAGGATGCCAAGGGGGCTATTGCTCTTGGAATCTCCAAGTTGTAAACATCATGGAGTCCCAGAATGGTTTGGGTTGGAAGGGACCTTAAAGCTCATCCCATTCCACCCCCTGCCATGGGCTGGGACACCTTCCACTAGCCCAGGTTACTCCAAGCCCTGTCCAAGAGGAGGAGTTGTGGAGTTAATGAATAACTCTAATATCTTTACTACTCTGTCTGTGCTGCTTGGCTCGGTTGCTTTAGCCCAGAGGTGTTTCAGTGCAGTTTGATGCCATTCCTGCAGCAGGGAGTGGTTATTTCTCACTATTCCCATATTTATTCTGATCCCATTTTTAGCTCTTCCTGTACTTTATGGTTGGGAGTGACCCAAACTCGAGCCCTGAGATGGAGATAGTTGTGGAGGAGACTGCCTCTGTCAGAGAGGTAAGGCAGCTTTGGGAATTCCTGGCTCTGCTGCTCCTGCAAAACATTCCCTACACCCTTCGCCTCACACGGAATCGGAGGGAGAGGAGTTGGGAAGAGGAAACTCTCAGTGCTTCCAGTGATGGCAAGCTGGAAGGTGTTGAGTTTGCAGGTTCAGATATTTAAAAAGTTCCTCTGCAAACTCGGGGACAGAATTTATTCAAATAAGGATTTCTTCAAAATTTATTCAAAAAAGGAACAAACTGACAGCAAAGGTTTATTTTTTTAACAGTTGGGAAAAGCTGACTGAGCTGAGGGGAATTTCTTGCCTGAAAACCATCTCATCTCCCTGGAGGGTTTAATATACAGCTCAAGAAAAAATACATCTTGTCTATCTAATTATATTATTAAAATAAATGCCCAGGAATCAGTCACTCTTTGTTAGAAGATGTGCTGAAAACTTTTATTTCTCAACCTGGGCATTGAGACAAATCTCACCCTGTGTTTCTTTTTTCAGTGTCTCAATTTAATGCTGCAGAAATGTGGATTATCAGGTTTGTTGTGTTGTTATTTACTTTTAAAAGGAATTTTTCATATTCCTTAGACAGCTCTTGCCACCCTAAACCTTGTCTATTCGTTGCAATCATCTGTGAGGAGAGAAAAGAATTCTAAACTTGCTGTCTTTATAATGTAATTTTTATTTTAAAGAGCTTGTCATAGATTCAAATGGTAAATTGACATTGGAATTCCTTCCCTTTCCTCTTAAACCAGGGAGAATTAGGTGGGTGAGGAAGAGACATTTATGCAAAGTGTTTCTTGGGTCTGGGGAAGGGCATGAAGGCGATACTTGATTTAGTCAGAGTTGTGTTTAAAAACCAAACAGAAAACCCAAGAAAAAAGAACCCTTTATGCTTATTAAGTTGTGTAATGTTTTCCCAAACCAGCATCATTGGCTAATTAGTTTTGCATGTGTATTTTTTGGTTTTTGGTAGGTGATAACTGGCATTTGAGAAGGCTTGACTGGTGCTATGAAGCAGGGGAAGCACTAAGTCAGGAAGTAAGAGGATCCTCTTTTTGCCTTGAGTTTCTTTTCTCCCTGTTCTGTAGAGACTTTTCCTGGGCAGAGCTGCATTGAACAACTTGGGGATTCACAAATAGCCTGGCTTTTCTCTTCCCACAGAATGCCACCCTGAAGGAACTCAATGTGTGCAGAGGAGACACGTTGGTCATAACAGAAGGAAAACTTCCAGAAAAGGTAAAACAAGAGGGATTGTGTTTTTAGTCAGTGGACAGAGACTTGGAATCCCAGAATCCCAGAGTGGTTTGAGTTGGAGGAGACCTTAAAGATCTTCTCATTCCACCCCTGCCATGGGCAGGGACACCTCCCACCATCCCAGATTGCTCCAAGCCCCGTCCAACCTGGCCTTTGAGACTTCCAGGGATCCAGGGGCAGCCACAGCTTCTCTGGGCAACCTGTGCCAGGGCCTCCCCACCCTCACAGTGGGTGGAATTCCTTCCCAAGATCCCATCTAACCCTGCCCTTTGGTATTTGGGGCAGAATTCAACAACTAAGTGGAATCATGGAATCCCAGCATGGCCCACGCTGGAAGGGACCTTAAAGCCCATCCAGTCCCACACCCTGCCATGGGCAGGGATACCTTCCACTAGCCCAGGTTGCTCCAAACCCCATCCAACCTGGCCTTGGACACTTCCAGGGATGGGGCAGCCACAGCTTCTCTGGAGAACCTGTTCCAGGGTCCCACCCTCAGCCTTCCCTGCTCTTCACTCCCTGGATTACAGAAAGCTCAGGGTTTTGCCCTTCATAGAAAAATCTCATCCAAGTGACTGTCACAGACCTGGCACCTATTCCTTGGACTGTGGAAGGAAAGGAGGGTAATAAACACAACTGGTGATCCAAGAGGCATGGAAAACCATGGATCTCTGCCCCAGCTGTATCCCAGGAAGTGCTGGGAAGCTGGAAATTGCAGGGTAGAAGACAAGTGGGCAGAGAACGGGGCTCTTAGCAAGTAAAGCTTCCTCAGGGAAAACCAGAGGTTTGTAATACATTTGTTCTTGGGAAAAAATGTAGGATAAGAGGTTATTGCCACAGTGCTGTGGGTGTTGAGAGCAGCACCTGGAAGCAAGAAAGCTCTCCTGCTCAGGAAAGGAGACAGAGATCAACTCCATGTCCCTTCCTGGCCGTGCAGAGCAGGTGGGAAAACCTATCAGGAAAACCAGGAGTTTCTGAAGAGGCTGAGCAGTGTTGTAGTGGGTGAGCTTTGATGAATCCCTGGATTAGATGTTGGGAAGAAATTCCTCCCTGTGAGGGTGGGGAGGCCCTGACCCAGGCTGCCCAGGGAAGCTGGGCACTTCCCATCCCTGGAAGTGTGCAAGGCCAGGTTGGAGCAACCTGGGCTAGTTGAAGGTGTCCCTTGCAAAAATGTAGCATCATTAGGGCTGGAAAAGACCTTTAGGTCATCGAGTTCAACCTTTAACCAGTACCATCATATTCAGCACTAAACTGTGTCCCCAAGTGCCACATCCACGCTTTTGAACACTTCCAGGGGTGGTGTCTCCACCACTCCCTGGGCAGCCTGTTCCAGAACTCCCATTTGAAGGAGTCTTTTCCTCCTTCCTGTGACAAAGGGGAATTTTTTTCCTTTGCACTGAAGCAGAAACTTCCTGGTGCTTTCTGTTCACTTTCCAGGGTTTCCTGAAAATTCCCATCTGGTGGCTCAGGCCTTCAAGCCATAAGAAACATGGAGAGAATGCTCAGAACCAAGTGAATGGGCTAACCTGCCAGATGGAAGCTTTGCAGGTGTCTGCTGGGACAGGTGAGCTTGGCCAGGCTTGGGAAGGAATCACCTGGGGTTGCTCTGAGGAGTCAACCCCAAAACTTTAATGCAAAGCCTTAAATCTTCCTGCAATCCATGAGGCACTGTACCAGTTGCAGCAAGTCTGTGGTGAAAGGAGACAAAGGGGGTTTTTGACAAATGCATAAATGCTGGATAATCCTGTTGTGATGTTCCTCAGGTGGAGTTTCTCAAGATCTCAGTACATTTTGAAGCAAGGGCTCTTTATTCTGTCCCTGAAGGCAATGGCAGCATTTTAAAGCACAGAGGTGATTTGGCTTCAAATGCCAGACTCCCAGTAGCACATTTAATTCCTTTCAGACTGTTTGCCTTTTTGGGAAGCTGGAAAAGGAGTGATAAGTAAAGCTCCCATGGTATAAAGGACCTCACATGCAGGATTTTAAGTGTGTGTGTGTTCTTTTAAAGGTCACATCAAAAAACAGCTGGAAAACCAAGTGAGGGTTGAGAAGGGAGAGGGAAATGAAGTGGGAATCACTAAATTGGAAAATGGGAAACAAACAGATTTTCCTTTCTACAGGAAAAGAATATTTCTTTGCTGCTGAGTTGTTTTGGAGGGCAGGACCCCTCTCCTTGGAGGTTTCTTTGCATTTTTCTCCCCTCTCTCAAACCTCTTCTGGGTTTTGCTTTCTCCCCTGATGATTTCATCAGCTGAGGGCAGATTTACCTTTCCTTGCAGTAGGATTTACTGAGTTATTTCAGAGTCATAACCAACAATTAATCCTATTTATCAATAGGAATAACTGCTCCTATTTTAAAAACTGGCATTCTAGGATCTGTTGGAACCCTCCTTGTTTGGAAACTGTTGGAATGGTTTTTATCTACTGTGTATAAGTAGATCCTACTGTGCTTATTCTAGTGGAAGGGAGTGGCAGGGAGTTGGATGTTTAAGATCTCTTCCAAGCCAAACCATTCTGGAATTCCATGATATTCTGATTCTCTACAGAACGATGGGAGGGCAGGTCCCGTCTGGAAGTGGAATCTCCCCGTGAGGGGACTGTGATCTCTCAGGATTATGAACAAAATCATGATGACTCCTCTGTTTGTTTCTTTCTCCCCCCTTCCCAAAGCTTCCCCAGAAGCCACCCACCCAGCCATGGAGCTTTGTTATGCTGGCAGGATAGAAATAGCAGGAGAAGCTTCTCTGGAGGAGCTGAAGCTGCAGGTGAGATGTTCTCCCTGGGGGACTCGAGCCCTGGTAACACCTCCTGTGCACTGCCTTTTCCCCACTCTCCAGTGTGTTGGGGCATTTCTTCTGTGCCATGCTCAGGGCTGAGTACCAAGGGGCATTTGGAGCATGTGGCTCAGACACTTCCTGAGTGTCCCTGCAGTTCCCCTCCTCCCCCTCGTGATTCCTGGCCTGGGGAAGCCTCGTTGCTCTTCACCTGGAACTCTGGCTTTGCAGCCTTTGGCTTTGCATCACTGGGTCCAGTTTCTCCATGAGAACCACACACATCCAGGCACTTCCTAAAAAAGCCATTTTCCATTCCCACCTTGTTCCTCTATTAGTTTTCTGCTTCTTCTTTTGATTTTTTTTTTGGTGTTGAAGCTGGTGGATAAAGAATTACTCTGGGTGCACAGAAGGTCACGTTTGTCATTCAGGAAGGTCTGGCTTAGTTTCTTTGGCCAGAAACTAAGGTGCCTTTGCTTTTTTTTAACCAGAAACATAAGATTTTAACACACTAAACCCCAAAACCCAAACAAAACACCCCAAAAGGAAAAGAAACCCCAAAACCCAACCAAAAAACCACCACAAAAATACATGAGCTAGTCCTACCAGAAGGCTCTTTGTTGTCCTGAACTGCATGGGGAAGGATATCTCATTAGATTCTGGTCCATCCCAACACTTATTTTTTGGGAATGCCTTTGGTTTCAGGCTCTGCCAAGCTCCTGCTATGGAAAACTGCCTGTTTGCAGCTTGGGAACAGGAGAATTGTCTGAGCATGGGAAGGGGGGAATCCTTGGTGAGGGCGTAGAGGAGATCATAGAGACTGGGAAACGATTCCAAGAACCTCATTCCCTCCCAGATGTTCAAATTTTACTTAAAAAAAGAAATTTGGTACTTTTGGAATGTAAGTTGAGTTGAGAAATGTTGGGAGGGAGTGAAGCCCAACTCCCTTTGAAAAGGGAATATTTTGATCGTAACCACAAGCAACAGCTGGTGTGCAATAAATGCAGTTTTGAGTGTTGCCTTGGGAGTTAATCCGGTGGTTTTCTCTTTTTCCAAGGAAAATGGCTGCTAAAATTACTGACAAGATGTTCCTTTCTCTAAGGCCCTGACCTTGCCATGCTGCCAGGAGCAGGTTGTGCCCCTGCCCTCATTCCTCAGGGCATGGACAGTGGACAGCAAACGCCCTGGAAAGCTCCTGAGGAACAACAAGCAGAGACTCAAGTAGGTTTTTCGGGGAATGTGCAACTGGCTTTGCAACTGTGGGAGGGATTGGTGGGGAAATAAATCAGGTGCCTGTCAGCAGAAAGCCCATTTCTGGTTGTTTTGGTTTTGCTGAGCATCTTTTTAAATTGGGATAAACTGGGATAACTGCCACGGTTATTCCAGTGGAAGGTGTCCCTGCCCATGGCAGAAGGTTGGAAGGAGATGGTCTCTGAGGTCCCTCCAGCCCAAACCATTCTGGAATTCTGCTGAGCTTCAATTTAGGTACTTTAATGTAGGTATTTTTTGTCCTTTTCTGCCTTTTTCATTTGTGTTCCAGTAGTCTCTTGCTGTGGTGTTCCAGGTGAGCACAGATCCATTAAAAGAGTCTTTTAGAAGAGATGACAGGAATGAGAGAATCCCAGAGCGGTTTGGGTTGGGAGGGACCTTAAAGCTCATCCCATCCCACCCCCTGCCATGGGCAGGGACACCTTCCACTAGCCCAGGTTGCTCCAGCCTGGCCTTGGACACTTCCAGGGGTGGGGCAGCCACAGCTTCCCTGGGAATTCCATCCCAGCCCCTCCCCACCCTCCCAGGGGAGAATTCCTTCCCAATATCCCATCTATCCCTGCCCTGTGGCAGTGGGAAGCCATTCCCCCTTGTCCTGTCCCTCCATCCCTTGTCCCCAGTCCCCCTCCAGCTCTTGGAGCCCCTTTAGGCCCTGCAAGGGGCTCTCAGGTCTCCCTGGAGCCTTCCCTTCTCCAGCCCCAGCTCTCCCAGCCTGGCTTCAGAGGATCTCTCTTTTGTTTGCAGTGACTACAAGTTGGGTGCCAGCGTGGGAATCTGCATAGAACCTCTGGAAAAAGAAGAGAATTTGGGGTAAGAGCTCAAGACACTTTATTTCTTTCAGTTCTGCATTTGAGAGGAGCCTTTACTGAGTAGCTTTTAACTCCAGTGCTGGCAGGATTAGAAACAGGGGGATTCAGGAAGACTTAGAGCTCGTTTTTTGTGAGGGGAGGCAGGAGGGAGTGAAAACTGGGAATTCTGAAGGCATGACTCACAAGAATGTCTCTTCTCTCCTCCTGCTGCCAGCCCCCATGAGCTGCTGCTGCGAGTCCAGATGGGAATTCCAGGAGAAAGGGACTACTCTGACTGCAGGGATTTGGTGTGGGACATCTCCAAGGAATGCACCACCTGGGCACTGAGGCAGAGAGTGGCCTCTCACTACTGTCTCCCTGTGGAGAAAATCGAAATAGCCAAATACTTCCCGGAGAGATTCGAGTGGCTGCCAATATCCAGCTGGGTAAGAGCTGGAATGACACAATCCAGCAGCTGTTGGAGAGGAATGTGTTGGTTTGTGCTGCAGTTCCTTTGTAATTGTATTTCAGGAGAATTCCAAAAATTTTCTGCTTTGATTTTTTTTTTCTTTTTTCTTTTTTATTCAGACACAGCAAATTTCCAAGAGGAAAAGGAGGAAAAAGCAGGAGAGTTTGCAGTCAGCACCTTATCACCTGAGGGATGGAGACATCATTGGGGTGAAGGTAAATCACCTGGGGTTTAATCTTCCTGGTTTTCCTGCAGCATCTCTGGAAGTACTGGGATGTGGGTTTGGACATGTGGATGGGAGATGTGTTGCTGCTGCTCCTTTTTCTCTTGGTTCTTTTTTTTTGCCCTCATTTAATTGACTGTTTGGTTGTTTGTTTTTTTTTTCTAATTCTGAGTAAAATCCAAGGACAGTGCCCTTTAAAAATCCCATTATGGATATAAACCCATTACATATTCCAAAAAATGGATAGATCTACTTAATGATGTAAAAAAAGACTTGCCCAGCAGTGTATTGAGCTCTGAATTAGCAATCAGGCTTGTTTAGAAGGAAAGAATATACTGGCTGGGTTTTAAAGCAGTAGGAGAAAAAAATCTGATGTCTCATCCTGCTGCCTTAGACTAGTGGAAGAAATCCATCCCTGGAAGTGTAAAAGGCTGGATGGGGCTTGGAGCAACCTGGTCTAGTGGCAGGTGTCTCTGCCCATGGCAGGGGGTGGGACTGGATGAGCTTTTAAGGTTCCTTCCAACCCAAACCCTTCTGGGATTGTACTTCACTTGAAGTTAATTGGTGTAAAAGCAGTCAGCAGAAATGCTCTCAGAAATGAATTGTGTCAACGGAGCAACAGGTGGGAAATAGTTTGAGCTTCTGATTTCCATGGATCAAATCCTTTTCCACAACAGAACCTTCTCCTTGATGACACCAAGGACTTCAGCACAGTGAGAGATGACATTGGGAAAGCGAAGCAAAGGCAGCTGGCCCTGGAAAAAAAGAAAAGGTACTGAGTATTTGCATTTATTTTTCATTAGAAAAACTGTTCTTTACTGCTTTTCAGAGCAGCTGTGGCTGCCCCACCCCTGGAAGTGTCCAGGGCCAGGCTGGACAGGGCTTAGAGCAACCTGGGCTGGTGGAAGGTGTCCCTGCCCATGGCAGGGAGTTGGACTGGATGAGCTTTCAGGTCCCTTCCAACCCCAGCTAGTCTGGGATTCTGTGAGTTAATTTGATACCTAGATGGTTTTTTGGACCAGTGGTAGCTGGGTGCTCTCATAGCACACAATTCCAGTGGTCCTGCAGGAAGCACCTGGATAATTCCAGCTCCTGGCTCTAAGTTCCTACAGGGAGCCTCAGTTTTTTCTGTTGCGACACTGTGGGGATGAGGAAAAGGGAATTCCTGACTGGTTGGCTTTGCACAGCTGGTTGGGCTGAGCTTGTGGTTCATTCTTACAACTCACTGGAACCTGGGGATCAGTCCAGGCTCGTCTGCTGTGGGTACTAAAGCTCAAGACTAATATTAATCACCCTCCTGACTGTTTTATTCCCACAGTCGCCAAGCCAGGAGTGTCCAGGAGCCCTTTTTCCTGGAGGAGAAGCTGCCCACAAAGCCCCGGAAACCAGAAGTGGCTCTTTCCATCAATGTGGGGGTTTTCAGATAGCACAGGAGGGGCTTTGCTCACCACAACACACTGTATCCATCTACCTACATGGAGCAGCCAGAGGGGCTTTCCCAAAGTGCCCTCAAGAATCCCGGAGCCAAACTGGGGGTAGGATTCAGGATAACTCGGACTTTTCTCTGCTCTCTCTTGGGGAAGTGCTTTAGTGTCCCTTTCTCCACGTGGTACCTACTCTCAGGCTGGGTAAATGCACTTTATCTAGGAGGAAATGGAGTAATATATTCAATAATATTGCTGACTCTTTTGTATTCTCCCTAAATGGATTTTTTGGGGGCAGGTCTGACACATTGCACCATCACTACTGAGTTTTAATCCTGTCAGAATCATCTCTCTGTAGAATTTCTTTTTTTTTCCCATCCCTCATCACTGAAGTTACTACCAGTACCAGAATTTGCTTTTCTCTCTTTATATGTAAACCTAAGTCTGTAGGAGCTGGAGCCAGACTTGAGGAATGAAGGAAACATGGAAATCTCTGAACAAAGTGTACAAAATGGGCTGAAAAAAGGGCAAATTCCGGATCTGTCAAGATGTAAAACCCAGAGGGCTTCTGTGACCTGGAACAAGAGTGTGGTACACTTACAGTTTGAAGTTTCCAGGGCTTTTTTTTGTTGCCACTAAATTGAATTTTGCAGTTTCTAGGGCTTTTTTGTTGTCCATAAGTTTCATTAACAGACAAAACGGTTGGAAAGAATTGACAGACCCAGTGTTTGGTGTTAAGTGGGTTTTACTGTACTCAGGAAAAGGGCTTGTATTTATTTTCTGTGCTCTTTTTTCAGAGGAATTTCCCTCATTTCTCATCTTTCCAGTTGTTCTAACGCTCTGTTACATTTACTGTGTTCCTCTCGGTGTCACAGGGCTGAGGTGGAGCCTCTGTCTGACATCAGGTTCTGAAGTATTAAGATCAAAAGTAAGCCTGACTATCCCTAATTAATAATAATGAGAGGACAAAATACAAGTTGCTTTTGGGAACTGCAGCAAATATTTGACAGTGGAGGAGATTTTGTAGCAGGAGCTGCCAGTTCAGCAGACTCCTAAAATTTTGCCTAAGGTGGGATTTTTCCTGCACCTTTTCGAGGTTAAGAATATTCTGGTATTTCAGACAGCTGAAAGATAAAAACTGACACTCAGATATCAGCAAAAAAGAAGTGAAAAGTGCCACAAAGCACACAAAGCACATGATTAGTATTTATTTATTTCTGTGCATATCTTTGAAATTCAGCTTCTGTGCTTTTGGGGGCCGATCACTCCAGAAGGGGCTCTTTGATGTCCTTGAATTCACTTGAATCCTGAAATCCTGGTTTCATGGGTAGGTTTCCTGCCTGAGGTGAGGGCAGCTGATGCTTTCCTATCTTATTTTGTCGCCTTTTTCCAAATCAAGTGTTCTTGGGAGCCCATGTTTCCAGGAGGGATCCAGGTGCTGATTGGAAAGCTTTGTGTTTCCAGGTGGTTCCACTGCATTGCACTTCCCTGCTGTCCCTTTAGTGCCTCCAGCTCTTGCTGGAGAGCTGGACTGAGCTCAGCCTTCCCCCTTTGAGAACTCTGCTTTCTCCCGGAGAACACCGAGGTTGGAGAAACTGAAGTGGGAATTCCAAGAGGGGATTTTGTGCCTTTGTTCAAGTGTGATGTAGCAGCACCTGCACTGAACCAATCTTGGATTATTTTTCATATTGGCTCAAAAATGCATTTTTCTTTTTTCCTTAAAACTCTCGTGGGTCATTCCACAAGGAGAGAGTTTCTGGAAAATGGGGGGGTAGGGAGAGGGAACCCCTTTGGAAAATGGAGTCTTTGTGACTCCGTGGGTTATGATGGTTATATTGCGAAGCCTGGAAAAGCTTTCATCTTTGTTTTTCAAGTGTTCTTCACAAAATAAAATGTCATTTCTAGATGCTTAGTTGCTTTGTCTCTGGATGTCTCACTGGGAGTGGCACAAATTGGTGTTTAACGCTGGAGGGGCCACAGCCTTAATTAGCTTTAATTTTCCAATCTGTTCCTAAACCAACATTCCCATCTCTGTTTGAGGTATTCCCGATCCAGGTGGGATTGTGCTGTGCAAAGACCCGGGTTCAGCTGGAGAATTGGGATTTAAAGTTATTTTAGTGTGTTTTTTCCCCATTTTCAGAAGCACAGTCTGGTGTTTACTGGAAAGGAAATGGGCTAACCCTTTATTTCTGCTTGAATTATACAGCAAAGGTTTTAATAATCTTAATACAGACTCCAGTCACTAAATTAATGACTTTCAAACTCTTTCCTCTCTCTCGTAGGGGATTTTAATGCTGTCTACAAGTCCCTGACAGGAGGGTGAATCCAGGTGGGCTTGGGCTCTGCTCTCAGGGAACAAGGGACAGGATGAGAGGAAACAGCCTCAAGCTGTGCCAGGGGAGGTTTGATTTGGATATTATGGAAGATATTCAGCCTGGGCTATACTGTGTCTCTCAGCAGCCCCAGAATCCCAGACTGGTTTGGATTGGAAGGGACCTCAAAGCTCATCCCATTCCACCCCCTGCCATGGACAGGGACACCTTCCACCATCCCAGGTTGCTCCAAGCCCCATCCAACCTGGCCTTGGACACTTCCAGGGATGGGGCAGCCACAGCTGCTCTGGGAATTCCATTCCAGCCCCTCTCCACCCTCACAGATGAGAATTCCTTCCCAATATCCCATCTAACCCTGCCCTCTGGCACTGGGAAGCCGTTCCCCCTTGTCCTGTCCCTCCATCCCTTGTCCCCAGTCACTCTCCAGCTCTTCTGGAGCCCCTTTAGGCCCTGGAAGGGGCTTTCAGGTCTCTCTGGAGCCTTCCCTTCTCCAGGCTGGACAATCTCAGCGCTCCCAGACTGGCTTCATGGCACAGGGGCTCCAGTCCCCGGAGGAGTCCAGAGGAGGCACCAAGATGCTCCAGCATCTCCCTGTCCTTCCAGTGCTGGTTCGCCCCAACAGGACCGTGGAAACAGCCCTTTAGTGATAAAGCCAAACACCGTCACCGCAGTAAAAAACCCCAACTTTTCCGGCTCTTATCCACCGCCCTCTGCCATAGCGTTCATTTAGTCGCTGCTTATTCCGCTGAGGGGCGGGACGGGCGGCTTTGGGGCCGATTCCAGGTTTTTTTCCCCTCGGGGATGCGGTTGCTATGGCCGCGCTGTCCCTTAGCAACGCGCCGCGCGCATGCGCAGCGCGGGGCACGCCGGGAGCGCGGCCGGGCCGCTGCCGGTGCATTCCCGGTGGGATTTGCCGCTGGATCCCCCTGGCATGAGCACCGGCTGAGCGCCGGGGCCCGGGGCCACCGCCATGAACGAGGCGGTGGCGCGGCGGACGCGGGAGAGCCTGGGGCAGGTGATCCGCAAGCCGCCGCTGACGGACGCGCTGCTGAACAAGCCGCCGTTCCGGTACCTGCACGACCTCATCTCCGAGGTGGGACCGGGCACCCCCCGGGCACCGCCGGCGCTCCCCGCCCTGCCAGGGACACCCCCGGGTTGGGGACACGCACAGGGCACGGCCGGAGGGCCGAGGGCATCGCGGGAGCTGGGGCGGGGGGGGGAACGGGGCGTGGGAGGCGCTGGGAAAAGGGGTTCGCGCTGGCGGAGAGCGGGGTTAGGTGGGGTATTGGGAAGGAATGCTTCCCTGGGAGGGTGGGGAGGGGCTGGGATGGAATTCCCAGGGAAGCTGTGGCTGCCCCATCCCTGGAAGTCCCCAAGGCCAGGTTGGACAGGGCTTGGAGCAACCTGGGCTGGTGGAAGGTGTCCCTGCCCATGGCAGGGGGTGGGATGGGATGAGCTTTAAGGTCCTTCCAACCCAAACCCGTCTGTGATGATTCTGTGAATGAAGAAACCAAATCTTTAGATCTTTAGAAACCAAACATCTTTAGATTCCTGCTCATAAATCCATTAGGAATTACCCATCTTTACCCACCCTGCTGGATCACACCCCATTCCTTAGAAATGTGCAGCTCTGGCATCACTGAAATGCCCTTGGCCCTTCCCTCCTCCCTCAGGAGCTTGAGGGAAAGATTTCCTTGGAGATAAAGGGTGAGAGCATCTGGTCATGTGGTCAGTATGTCCATATCCCAAAGTTTAAAAGGGTCTGAAGCTTCAAATCTAATAAATGGTATTAAGTGCCCCATGAATAAAGTGAAAAATAAACAATACAGATTAAAATCAGGAGCTGTATTACTTACTTTTTATTACTTCCTAATTTATTACTTAAAGCAGAGGCTTTAAGTGTTCTTAACCTACTCCTTCTCTTCTGTTTTTTAGGTAATCAGGGTGACAGGTTTTCTGAAAGGACTTTACACCGATTTTGAGTTGAAGTCAGACAATGTTAAGGTGGGTCTGAGACTTCCTTACTTCCTTAGCTTTAAAATAAGTGTTCTTTGAAAGCTGCCATGAGGTTCTTTTGGCCTTTTCCGTGCTCTGCCTCAAGGATCTGTCTTTAGTTTTGCTGTGGAAGTTCCTGTGGGTTTTATTATTCACTGCATGGGGTGAGCAGCTATAGATTGATTTGTGGCTGTGACACAAACAAGGTGCAAAGAACTATTTTTATACCTATATCAAACCACTGAGGGGTAATCTCTGCCCAGATCCACTTTTCCCAGTTATTATTGTATGAGAAAAAAATCATTCTGTAGCAAGGGATTGATAATAAATAACTGATCAGTAATGAGGGATAAATTGATAAGAAATCACAATGCTTAGAAATCCACAGGCAGGTTTAAAGAGTCTTGTGGTCTCTCAGTGGAGTCTGTGGCTTTATTGCTTTATATATTTGTGTCTATGCACACACATATATATGGTACATAAATATATCCATGGAATATTCCTGTTCAGTATCCCAGGACTTGCTGAGGCATTTCTGTAGGAGCTGCATTCCGCAGTAGCTTTATTGCAGTATAAAAATGGCTCATTACTGAGAGAGGAGGTGAATATTATCCCTGAAAACTGCTTTTCTTAAGTACAAGGGGGACTTTAATGTGTATTTGCTGCTTCCTGCTTGGCTCTTGGCTGAGCTCCCTGAGTTCTCCAGCTCCCAGGTTGATTTGGAATTGCTGGTTCCTGGCAAAATGCAAATATTGGATATCAAGCTTGATCTTGTAATTTTTTATATCATCTTATAAATATAAATATTTTGTATATATATATATAATCGATATTTATATCTATATTTATTTATATTTATATTTTATTATATTTATATACATATCAATTTCTGTCACTTGAAATAAGGGAAATACCTTAAATCCACCCAATAAAAAACACTCAGCACTGTTTCAGATATCTCTTTCTATCTTGATACAGTTTGATTTCCTGCTGCAGGTGGGAGCTGTAGATTTCCCACTGGTCCATTAGGATTTCTTACATGGACAGGACACACAGATAACTCCTGGAAATGATGAGGATGGAGGAGGAAAGTTTGGGTCTTTATTTGAAAATGTGTTTGGTTTAGAATAACGTCTTGTCTCCTTCCATAAATTATTAGATTTCAGGAAGGATGGATGACTATTTAATAGGAGGTTGCAGCATTTCTTTCCCTTCCTTTTTATTTCTGAAGAGGGGGGAGCATTTTGTTACATTTTATTAAATAAACCCCTGTTTTCTCCCCACTGCACTTTCTCCTTCACACCAGCATTTTATTCTCTGGGCCAGAAACCCTCCAATAAAGTTTTAATTTGTTTATTTGGTGTGTTTATGTTTTACTTCTGATCTTCCATGCCCACTGGAAGACGCCGTGTCCGTCGAAGGGCCCTTGGGGCAAGTGGTGAAGTGCAGTTCTGAGCCCCACGCACGTCTGCTAATCGTGGAGCTAAAAATATCTCTGACTTGCTCTTTTGCCAGGATAAAGATTCTAAAATCCACTTCCTTCAGAAGGCCATCGATGTGGTGGTGCTGGTGACAGGGGAGCCCCTGGCAGTGAGGCCAGTGCGTGTCGTGGCTGGACACGAGCCCGAGAAAACCAACGAGTTCCTCCAGGCCATTGGCAGGTGTTGTTTGAACAAGGTGGGACTGCCTTTTGTACACACAGGGAGATTGGAGCAGTTGCTTTGATATTTATTGGTGGCCCAGGGGATCCCTCAGTCAAACCTCTTAATTCTGGAATGAAAGTCGTTTTTCCACCGGGCCTTTTTTGAATATGGAAACGCAGCAAAGGAGATTATTTGATAAGTGCTTGAAAACAACTGCAGGGGCAGCTCTTACACTGAATTATTACATTTTTACATGTCATTTCTGTTGTTGCGTTCTTAAAATAATTCTTATATTAAAAGTGACGGGGATTCTTTGCTTAGAAGCGTTACAGAGATTTGTGAAATACAAAGATATTTCAAAAAACCTTTCAAAAATACCCTTCAAAACAAAGGTGTTGCGGAACCCCTTGAATTAATGAGTGTGAAGAAATTGTGTCTGTTTAACAATGAAATATTACAGTGTTTACAGGCTGCCTGGGAGTTTGCTTTGCATTATCTTTGCTAATAATTGAAATTATTTTGTTTTAATTGGCTGTGTTAATTCCTTATGAATCACTTGAGATCAGGGAAGGGGAATGTTGATAAATATATGCATTTATAAACCAGGAGAGAATCGGGAGTCAACCTCAGTGTAGTGATTGCAAAGCTATTCCTGTTTCAGGAAGGAAAATTCCCTGGAAATGGGATGAGTTTTTTTTGGTTGCTGCTGATGGAACAAGTATTGGGTGACAGTGGAGTGGCCTGAGAGTGGAGCAGATCCAACACTGTGTGATTTTAAGAATATTTAACCAATCTGACAGTCCTGGTATAAGCATTTGACAGGTTTTTCATCATTTTGAAATATATTTAAGCAGTTGCAATGAGAATTGTAATGCACTAAAAAAAACCCACCATCAATTTCTATAGTGCTGGTTCATTTAATCAAATTATAACAAGAATTAATTAATTAGGATCTTAAAGGGAGGTGTCTGATATAAAAGAGCTCCTGGGAAAGAATTCAGTGGTCTCAGAGGCCTTTCCTCTGATTGATTCTGTGAAGGAGAAAAAAAAAAGAGCTTTATTTATAACAACAACAGCAGCAAACCCAGAAGAAAACCCCAACCCCCAGGTCATGTTGATCACAGAGTTAGGAAAAAAGGAGACATTTCCTAAAAGAATTTCCTCATTTCCCTGATGTTTTTCTGTTCCTTGCAGCTCTCCAGTGATGCTGCTGTAAAAAGGGTCTTAGCTGGGGAAAGAGCTGATCCTAAAGGGAAACCTCCATCCTCCAAACCTCGAGAGAAAGAAAGCAGAGAGTCCAAACCAGAAGAACCAAAAAGCCATAGGGATAAAGAGGTAGAATTTGCATTTTTTTTGGAGGGTATTATTTATTTGGTTGTTTTTTTGTCTGTGTAAAGTCACTGAGTGCTACCGGAATTAATTTGGAGTCTTGACTTTCTTTTTAGAGCAGGAGGGACCCTGAAATCAAAGACAGAAGCTCAAGCAGAGACAGCAAACCCAAAGAGAGCAGAGAAAGAGAAAAGGAGGGTGAGAAACAGAAGGATAATAAAGAGAGGCACAAAGAACCAGAACGTGAGACCTCGAGGGAAGGAGAAAAACGAGAAAGGGAAAGAAGCAAAAAACCAACCAAGCAAGGAAGAGAACCCGAAAAAAGCAAAGGAAAGGGAGACACAGAAGATGATCTGGAGCGTGAGAAAGGACAGGAAAGAGAGAAAAAACATGAAGGAGGAAGAGAAAAGGACAGAGTGAAAGGAAGAGGCAAAGAGAAGGGCAGGGACAGGGAAGGAGAGAAGGACAGAGAGAGAGGAAGAGATCGGGACAGACGCGGGGACAAGGAAAAGGAGGAGGAGCATCTCTGGGAACGTGGGAAGGAGAAAGCAGAGAGAAAGGTAACAGGAATGTCACTGCAGAGGAGAACTGTGCCCATGCTGTGGTTGTTCCAGTGACCTCCTATGACTGTGTTTCTGCTCCTTTAGCAATTCAGTCCTCCCTTCAGCAGCAGTTCCTCTCCTGAGGGGAAGGTTCTGGGGTGGAGTCTGTGACTCTGGTGGAGTTGCACTTCTGTATTAATTTTTTCTGGCTTTCTAGATTAAGCTGCTTGGCTTTTTGGTTTTTTTATTTTGTTGTTGTTGGTTTTTTGAGTTTTTTTTTTTTTTGTTGGTTTGTTTGTTTGTTTTAGGGGGTTTTTAGTGTGTGGTTTTCGGTTTTGTTTTTTGTTGTTATTTTTGTTTGTTTGTTTGTTTTAATTGGAAGAACTGCTGGGAAGCCCATCTGGATTCCTGTGGGTGTGACTTCAATACCATCCAGTGCCACCCCCTGCCATGGGCAGGGACACCTTTCACCATCCCAGGTTGCTCCAAGCCCCGTCCAACCTGGCCTTGGACACTCCCAGGGATGGGGCAGCCACAGCTTCTCTGGGCAACCTGTGCCAGCCCCTCCCCACCCTCACAACCAACAATTCCTTCCAAATATCCCATCTAACTCTGCCCCCTGGGGCAGCCATTGCCCCTTGTCCTGTCCCTCCATCCCTTGTCCCAAGTCCCTCTCCAGCTCTCTTGGTGTCCCTTTAGGCACTGGAAGGGTCTCTAAGGTCTCCCTGGGGTCTTCTTTTCTCCACCCCCAGCTCTCCCAGCCTGTCAGAAGGTTGGAAGGAGATGGTCTCTGAGGTCCCTCCAGCCCAAACCATTCTGGAATTCTGCTGAGCTTCAATTTAGG